GATTTCTTTTATAACAAATGTCCAGAATAGGCAAATCTACAGACAAAAAATAGATCAGTAAGTGCCTAGGGCTGGGGGACATACACATAGTGCAGTCTATATTCTAACTACCCTTAAGTAGAAACTTAAACATTACTCAATTTATTCTGAGTAACCCATGAAAAATTTCACTTTAATTGAGAAAAAGGTTAACTTTATCAACCTTGAACAGGTGACATTTACTAAATGCCAACTGTACATGGCACTGTACACGTTTCTGCCTGTTATTTATATACAAACAGAAACCAAGGGGAAAAGTAGGAAAATGAATTACTACCTTACAATTACAATTTACCCAGGTTTAACATAATTTCATCCAATCAATTACAGCATTAGGACATATTTATATTAATACAATTTTAATATGATGTGTTAAAGAACCTACATTGTATAGAAAGACTTACTGTAAAAGATTTTAAATTACAGAAAATGAAATTTGCCTGATAGAAAGGATAAACATTCAATACTACCCTTCAGAGATCTTTTGCTTACCCTTTTCCCTCCAAGATTAGATAAGAATTTTCAGGACCAGATATTTCCCAACTTCTTTATAAACATTTTTAGTGAAATCCTGATGTCATTAAGTATTTTCAAGTAAGTTTTAATCTGTAGTAAATAGTTTAAATCTATCAAACCTTTTAAGAAAAATTTAGATTACAAAAATGGCAGCTCTTTTCTTGTGCATCAAGTAGAATTTTACAAACGGGTCCTCTGAAAACTGCTTTTCTTATTCTTGCACATTTTCCTGTATGTGCTTCCCTTAACAAAGCCTCCAGATAGTTCACTTGTCTTTAGGTTCTTGGAGCAGTGGTGAGCTCTAATTGTTACCATGCTTTCTCCTTCAAAAGAAAGCAATGATCAAAAACAAAAAAAAATTAACAGACATCAGAAACACTTACTTCAGAAACACTTTAACTGTATCTATAAAAAATTCACTTTGGTTACAGTGGTGTAAAATTAAAACTTCCATCAAATTTAGAATTTTAAGCTCACCATCACAAAAAATAAAAAATATACTCACAGATACATCATCATAAACTGACCTAAATGAATTTTTCTATTTATCAAGGTTGACTATTTTTTATCGTTTGCTGTAAAATGCTGAAAGCAGACAGGATGGTGGAGGCCTAAACTTGGAATCACAGAAAGAATTGACCTAAAGGCTTAAAAACTTAATGTGGCTACACACCCTCTAAAACAGCTAAAATTAAAAAGACTGACGATGTCAAATGTCAGTAGGGATGTGGAGCAACAGGAACTCCCATACACCGGTAGGATTGTAAAATGGTGTAAGCATTTTTTTTAAATGTAGTTTTTAAAAACTAAACATGCAGCTGCCCTATGACCTAGTCGTTCCACTTATAAGTATTCAGCCATGAGAGAGAAAAGAATTCATCCACAAACTGTTCATAGTAACTAACTGGAAACAGCCCAGATGATCCTCAACAGTGAATACATAAATTATGGTATATTCATACAGTGAAAAACTACACAGCAACCAAAAGAAAGGAACTCCTGATGTGCACAACAAAGATGAATCTCAAGAACATCAATGCTGAGTGAAAATAAAGCCTTACCCAAAGAGTACATACTATATGATCTCATTTATGCGAGGTTCTAAACAGGCAAATCTAATCTATGATGTGAGGGAAAGTGAGTGACTGGACTGACTGAGAAAAGGCAAGAGAAAACTTCCCGGTCAATTATAATGTTCTACATCTTAATAAGGGCTTGGGTTACAAAGTGTAAGTATTTGTAAAAACTCATGGAATGCCAACCATGTGCATTTCACTGCATGTCAAATTTACCTTAAAAAAAAAAAGTTTAAAAAATTGAACTGAAGTTAATGACATGCGCATTACTGAAGTGCCTTTTAAGAATGACATGTACTGATATTGGCAACTTACTTTGAAATGCATCCAAAAAATAAGATGGACTTAGATTATACAATAGTGCAAATACAGGAAAACGCTAAATGTAGTGACAGACATATGGATGTTCACTGTATAATTCTTTCAACTTTTCTGTATGTTGGGAAATATAAAAATGTTAAGGAATTTTTTTATAAGAGTATTGGGAGGCAAAAAAAAAAAAAAAAAAAAAAAAAATGATTCACTTGGAAAAACTT